TTGTCTCTATGTGTCCCTGTGATGGACTGGAGACCTGTCCAGGTGTACCCCGCCTCTCGCACTGTGATTACTGGACATGGGCACCGCCGACCCCCGTGACCCAAAATGGAAGAAGCGGGTAAAGATGATGGATGGATGGATTTTATTATCCCATCTTAAGACTGTCATAAATTATTCCATATTTATTCAATATTTTGGTAAATCTAAGGTTTGAGAACTGAGTTAACTTACAAAATCCTAATGATTGTTTCAGACAACATCCCCGGAAAAGTGTTGAAGGAATGTGCTGATCAGCTCTGTGAGGTGCTGGCAGACATCTTTAACACCTCACTTACCCTGGAGACAGTTCCCACCTGCCTGAAGACTGCCACCATCATCCCAGTCCCAAAAAGCTCTACAGTGACTGGTCTGAATGACTATCGGCCAGTGGCCCTCACCCCGATAGTCGCTAAATGCTTAAAAAAACTGGTCATGACTCACATCAAAACAACCATCAACATCCACGAGGACCCTCATCAGTATGCATACCATGAGAACCGATCAACAGAAGATGCAATCTCCTCTGTGGTCCACACTGCGCTCAACCACCTGGAGCAGAAAAACTCTTACGTCCGTATGCTCTTTGTGGACTTCACATCCACCTTCAACACCATGATCCCCCAAACCCTGATGGAAAAACTATTCACATTAGGACTAAGCCCCTCCATTTGCAACTGGGTACTAGACTTTTTAACAAACAGACCACAGTTAGTGAGGATCCACAACTTCTCCTCCTCCACCATAACCCTCAGCACTGGCTCTCCTCAGGGATGTGTGTTGAGCCCCCTCCTGTTTACTCTGCTCACGTATGATTGTGCAGCTACCCATCCAGGCTGTCACATTGTAAAGTTTGCAGATGATACAGCGGTGGTGGGATGCATCACAAACAATGATGAGTCCAGCTACAGGCAAGAGGTGGAACACCTGGAGAGCTGGTGCAAAGAGAATAACCTTCACATCAATGTGAAGAAGACAACGGAGATTATTGTGGACTTCAGAAGGAACAAAAACATCTACACCCCCCTGAACATAAGAGGATCTGCGGTGGAAGTGGTCTCCAGCTACAAGTACTTGGGTGTACACATGAATGACAACCTCAGCTGGAGCAACAACACCACCAGCCTGATCAAGAAAGCTCATCAGAGACTCTACTTCCTCAGACGGCTGAGGCGAGCTGGTCTGGGAAGCTCAGTCCTCACCTCCTTCTACAGGTGTGCAGTGGAGAGCATCCTGTGCTCCAGCATCAACGTGTGACATGGAGGCTGCACAGCTGCAGAAAGAAAAGTTTTGCAGAGAGTGGTGAAGGCTGCACAGAAGATGTTGGAGTCAGTCTCCCCACCATCACAGACATCTACACCTCCAGATGCAGGAAGAGGGCCACCTGCATCATGAAGGACCCCACCCACCCAGCACACACACTTTTTGCCCCACTCCCCTCAGGAAGGAGGTTAAGGAGCATTAAGTGTAGAACCACTAGACTGAGGAACAGCTTCTACCCTGAGGCTGTTAGACTCATGAATCTCTAACTAGAATAATCACTGTGAAAAACCATATCATGTTGCTGCTGATCTGTTTCATGTTGCTGCTGATCTGTTTCAATGTTGATGTGTTCATGCGTGCACATCTGCTCACAGACTCATGTTCATGTTTGTGCTGATGTTCAATGTTTTATGTTATGAGTGCTTAGTGTATATTTAGTTGATGTTTTTCTTAGTTCATATCTTAGATGTTATTACTGTTTTTCTTAGACATTTTATTGTTGGATGTAACTGGGACCCCGTGTACATAATTTCGCTCCACCACATGTACCACATGAGGTGCGAATGACAATAAAGAAACTCTGACTCTGACTCTGACTCTGA